GGGGGGGGGTCCATTCATAAGCAAATTTTTTTTCAGTTGACCACAGTTCAGTTGACCTATGTAGTTCATCTGACTTGAGTTATACAAGGTTAAACTCCATGATTGGGAATCTGAGTATGTGGAGAACTGACTCTAGTTATATGCGGATTTTCAACTGTGCGGGATCTCAGCACACCTAACCTCCCAAGTTGCTCAGGGGTGAGTTGTAATTAAAAAGGAAGATAATAACAGGAGTTGTCCAAGATGTGGAGGAACTGGAACCCTCATATATTGCTGAAGGGAATGAAAATGATGCAACTTCTGTGGAAAACATTTTGGCAATTCCTCAGAAAATTAAACAGTTACCATATGACCCAGCAATTCTATTCTGAGGTATGTACTCAAGAGTATTGAAAACATATGTTCACCCAAACACTTGTATACAGATGTTCATAGAAGTACTATTCATAACAGCCAAAAAAGTGGAAACACTATGTATGTCCATCACCTGATGAATGGATAAACAAAATGTGGTTTATCCAGATAGTGGAATATTATTCAACCCATCAAAAGGATTGAATTACATGCTGCAACATGGTTGAACCTTGAATACACTTTGCTATGTGAAAGCAGACTGACACAAAAAGCCAGATGTTATATGATTCCATTTATATGAAATGCCCAGAATAGGCAAATCCATAGAGATAGAAAGTAGATTAGTGGTTTCCAAGACTGTGGAGATTGGAGTAATGGAAATAACTGCTAATGGGTAGTTTCTTTTTGGGGTGATGAAATGTTTTGGAATCAGATAGTGTCATAGTTGCACATCCTTATGAATATACTACAAACCACTGAATTATGCATTTTAAAGGGATGGATTTTACAGTATATGAACTATATCTCAATTTAAAAGATCAAAGTTAAGAAAAATGGGGTTCATTGGCCATGAAAAAGCCTGATGAAGTTTAGGATTTCACTGTTTGATTCTCTGTTCCTTTCTCAGATTTTTGGGATATGTCTGGCTCAGAATTTGGTTAGCGACATTGAAGCTGTCAGGGCTAGCTGGTAGAGCAGAGCCCCTGCCACAGCTGCTGTGAGACACTGGACAGATGCAGCCTTCCGGACCCTCCAGCGTGCCCAGCCGAATCCACCCTGCATGGACCCCAGTCACAGAGGCGTCCTGCAGTCCCACCTGATGGAGCTGCCAAGAACTTGTTTTGGGGGGTAAAACTGAGAAATGCTGCTTACTGACAGAATTAAAAAAAAAATAACCAGTATGAAAGTCATTGCACCATGAATCTCTACTGTAGCCATGAATTTATGGATGGTTGGATACTTACCAAAAAAAGAAAAAGGAGGGAGGGGGGCCCAGATGTACTTGAATGTGGGGAACAGTCTCGCTCTCCACCTGTGTAGTAGCTGCAAGAGGCAGCTTTGCTCTTCCTCACACCAGGAAGGGACCGCCGCCTGTTCAAGGCCTGAAGAAGTGCATCTTTCCTAAAACTCAGCCCTTTACCTGTGAGGGCTGGGGGGTTGCACCCCTCCACTGCACATTTCAAGGAACTGTGACAACTCTCATCCCAAGAAGAAAACAGCTTGTCTTTGGGTCAGCTTTTGTGATTGCATTCAGCAAGCAACATGCGTGGGAGCATTTGGTCTCCTGATAAGTGTATTTCGTGTGCACTGAGCCACAACATGGGGACACTCTGCGATGCTGAATTTTAGCAGGACAGCTCTTTTTTCCTAAGTAGGCCTGAGCTTTATTTATCAATGAAATCTAAGGAGGAAATGAGGTTAATAATGAGGTATTAGTTAAATATTCCCTCACCCCAACCCACCAAATTAGGTGTTGGATTCTTTGGAAACTCTGGGACTTTGGCTTTTTTTTTTTTTTTTGCTTTTTTTTCTGTTTCCGGTCTCCCAAAAGCTACAGTTTCTCTTAAATTTTAAAGTGTTTTTTTACGAGCTTGAATATTAATTTTTTGTGTGTAATCTCCCCGCATGACCTGAAGCCACGAGCTTCTCTTTCTGCCATATTTCCTACAACATTTATAGATGTGGTTTGATTCAGCACTTATTTGATAGGGTCATGGCCTTGAGAGGTGTGGCGAGTCCTCCCTGGCTGGGAAGGGACCAGCTGGGCTGTGGCAGATGCTTCCACGGACTCAACAATCCTTCAATCATATTGGTCGTCAGTGACCTCTTCCGCATCCGGCCTCTTTTTGTGTTTGAGTGGAATTAAACCCCGTCCCAAAACAATGTTGACACAATCAGAAGGCTTCTAGTGGGGTTTTTCTTCTTCTTCTGGTTTTAGTTTTCTTTTATGAAAAAAAGTAGAGAGTGTGTGGGTGGAGCTCCTTGTGTTCTCTTAGTGCAGACTAACCGTCAGGATGGTGACAAAGCACAAATACTTTGGAGCGGAGAACGCTGACAGGCAAGGGTTCTGTGTCACAGGTGGAAAACCACCTCCAGGGGCTGCCACCCACCCCTGCCCTGACTCTAAGTGGGAGGGACGAGTTTTTCCCCCAGATTGTAATCCAACTGTTGTCTACCAGGATGCATGCCGTTCTCCTGGGGGAGCTGGTATTAGTCTGCGGAACGCTGGGAAAACCACAGGCATGTTTCATGGTGGTGACACATTTGCCAACACATGTGGGCAGCCAGCTAGCATACTTTGTGGAAATTTGGCAAGGTTTCCTATCTCAGCCCCACGGTGCATCGCTGAGGCTGATGACTGTGTCCTTCGGCTCAGAGAAAGGACAGCAGTTCTTTGAAAATCTGGTCTCCAGAGTTTGGGTGTGTATGACTCTGCATGGGTGTGTCTTTGTGTCTTTGTAGTTAGAGATGTTCATTCCGTACTCCAGCTGTAAGATTGTTTTATCTCATCTCTGCCCCACCACAGCTGTCCTTCTGTCATGTCGTCCAACACGGAGAAGACTTGAGCTCTCTGGTTGGCACTCTTGTCTTTTATGTTTATGACCTCATTCTCCAGTGAACTCCATCTGACCAGTTGATTCAGAACCAGGCAAGATTCCCACCCTTCGGCACATCCAGTGAAAGGCCAAATGGAAGTCCAAGTGAGTTTTCAATTTTAATGAGTCACCCTTTATTTTTTACACTCGAGAGTGGTTGTAATAAAGGCCGTCATTAATAAACTTGGTTCTGCCTTCCATGGAGTTATGTCTTTCTTCTTTTTTTCTCTCTTGAAATGGCAAAATGCTCGAATCCAGTGGTTCCCAAACTTCAGCAGCATGCGTCAGAATCACGGGATGGCTTGTTGAAATACAGATAACTGTGTTGGCCCCATCCCCAGAATTTCTGATGTAGTAGTTCTGGGGTGGGGGGAGGTTGAGAATGTGCTGTTCTGACCAGTTCCCAGGTGGCACTGTTGCCCTGTTTTTGGAAGCACAATCTCTACGGGAGAAAGGGAGGGAACATTTTGTGATTAGGAGGAAAAGGTTTCCTTGTGCTACTGGATGCCGACCAATGAGACGGAAGAGCTGGGTATGTAGGAAATCTGTTCCTTGTTGTCTGCTGGTCACAGTCTCCCAGAGACCATGTAGAATACAGATCATCAGGCCTTGCCCCTAGCAATTCTGTACTGGGGAGGCCAGAGCATATATATAAAATTCTTTTTTCTTTTTTATAGAGCCTTTATTTTTAAGAAGATCCCATTGAAAATTTAATGCACAATGAGAATTAGGACTCATGGGCCTAGGTAAATCTTGATAATATTCACAACCTTTTTTCTAGGAAAATAATTTCTAGTAGTTTCTTAGAGCAGAAGTCTTAACCCATTTGAGAAATACCAACTTAGATGAACTTTTATTTTGAATTATCACTGCAGAAGAAGACTTCTGTCTTTAGAACTGTTAAAGATTTTCTTCAGAGATTAAATGAAAAAATTTTAAGGTTCATATGGTATTTTCAGACCCTGACACTGTGCCAAGACTTGTTTGAGAAACATTTTGTCTCATTCCCCTGGATAGTTGAGACCAAAAATGTTATTCTGACTTTAGGGAAATTTATCAGTGGTAATGGGAGATCAGCAATCCATATTTCTGGAGTTTTCTTAGCCATGCTGGGGAGATCATCTTATGTACATGAGGTAATTTGTGCTCCTTGATCTCGGCAAAGTCTAGGCCAGGGAAGGAGAAATATTGCGGCTCAGAAGTAAAAGGATGCTGCCTGCAGAATTCAGAACTTGCAGGAAGTTTCTTCTGTGTTTAAAAGGTAGACTTGGAGGAGGATTGTTCAACTTCTCTATATCTCTACTGTTTGACCGGTTACCACAAACATCATTGCTTCTAGGATTTAAAAATACTTTATGGTATTTTAAAAAATGGACACAGGAATTAATATAGAATTTTGCGTTATGAAACACTTGGGGGAAAAATTATCTTTGTTTTCTTCTTTCTACCAAGGAATTAACCTCTACTTTTCTTTCAGCTTTCTTCCTGCCGCAGGTCCCAGTCATTCTTCTGTCAAAGGGATTCTGAAAAGTGTCTCTTGGCTTTTCCTTCTTATGCAGAATGTTTTCTCATTCATGCCCCGCGCTGGTGTGGGCAGAAATGGAGCAGTTCTGAGTTTCCTGGAGCTCCTCTCAGGCCCTGTTTCCGGCTGCCTTGGACCGCAGCCCTGGGAAGCCGGTGGCTGAACAATGAGGAGCTGGCGCCGGGGACCTGGCTGGCCCTCCCAGCTCTCTCGGCCATTTATTCCACGAAGCCCCGCTTCTCTAGGGAAACCCTGTTTAGACCTGCGAGGAAGAGCTGGGAACCTCTCCATGAGCACTGGCCAACGGGGTTTCATGGCCAGCACTCTACAGTGAGGCCGTGGGCTGTTTCTAGGTGCTGCCCTCTCAGGAGGGAGAAGCCTAGTCCTGGAATTAGAAGGAGGATGTAGTGTTTGCCTGGAAGTAGGAACTCACTAGGCTTTATCGTGGTGACAGAGAAAGTGGACAGAAATCTATCCAGGACAACAGACAAGGCGCGTGTATCCGGGTGGGGGTAGGGGGCAGAGGAGAGAAGCTGAACTCTAGAGAGAGGGCCAAAGCCATCTTCGGGCTTACCTGAGCCTTTCTTTTTGGAAGAGTTTGTGAGAAAGGTAGAGTTTGTAAAGTTACAGATTTTAGGACTTCTTGAAGGATTTAGATAGCAGCTTTCCTTTGGAGTGTTCATGCTGAGCAGTTCTCTCGTAAGCTGGGCGCCAGTGAGAGGGAGCTGAGTTTTCTTAGCCTGGTATCCACTAACCCACCCACACTCCTCAGGACCTGCGTGGGCCGGGGCAGTTTCTCTCTCCCCTACTAGGAACTCCCAGCCAGGAAAACCTGCAGGAAGAGAGGTGAGTTCATGGGCTTTACGCTCTATTAACATACTCTGAAAACGGCAGCGTGCAAACAAGATAGTGCTTCCCAAGATAGCGCTTCCCATGTTGTTGCCCTTTATTGAATGTGTAGTTGCATTATATGTGGGAGAAAGACAACCTTTCATATCTGGAGTTTATCACGTATTGGATTTTGCTTTTGCAGAGCAACTGAACAGAACATTTTAATGGCCTGCCCTCTAGTGGCGATCATGTAAAACAACGGACAAGCTGGACGAGTTGCTGCAGGGCTCACCCCAATCTCTGCTGAGAGGTGTTCCCACTTTGCAGAAACTTGAAGGCTATCCAGCTGTATGTTGTGTGCTTAGGGCGGGTAGGCATTTTATTCCTTTTGCACACTCTGGAAAATGCCAGAGCTTGTTTTAGAGAGTTAGGGAGCAGGGTGTTTAACTCCCTTCGCCATCAACATCCTGGTCTTGCTGCCAGGGCTTTAAAGGGCACTGCCCTCCTGCCTAGACCCCCACACAGTTTACGGGAGAGATGGGGATGATCTAAAACTGCCAATCTGCCAGGCAGGACACTCTTCTGAAACAGTGAATAGAACATTCCGTCTGTTTCCTCTAAGAGCATCCATGCGGGTCACCTGGATGGAGTTTGCTTCGACCTGAGAATTTGCAACTTTGGTTGAGACGGTGGTGAAGACTAGTTTGGTGTTGGGTGGTCTGGATCACTGAACTCTAACTTGTGTTTTAGGAATCTGTTATGGGTTGAATCGCATCTTCCAGAAATCCATGTGTTGCATTCCTAACCCTAATACCTCAGAATGTGGCCATATTTGGAAATAGGGTTGTTGCAAATGTAATTAGATGAAGTGATATCCAGTATAACCAGCGTTCCTGTAAAAAAGGGAAATTTGGACACTGACGCGAACACAGGGAGAATGAACACCATGTGACAAGGAAAGCAGAGATCAAGTGATACATCTACAAGCCATGGAGCACCAACGATCGCCAGCAAGCTACAGAATCTGGGAGGCATGGCACCTGCTCTCAGAGCCTCCAGAAGGAACCAGCCCTGCTGACACCTGGACTTTGGACTTCACCCTCCAGAACTGTGAGATGATACATTTCTGTGGTTGGTATAAGCCTCCCTCCTGCTCTGTGGTACTTTGCTGTGGAGTCCGAGGAAGCTGAGACAGTTTGATCCCCTGTTGCCGGTTTTCAGGCTGGAAATGGTAGGACTGCTTGGAGCCCCGTGTGCCACTTCTTGCTGGAAGGAAAGGAGTGTGTATGCGCCACTTATTCAAGTGGGTGCACCTGAACATGGTGTGGGGGGCACTCTGTGTGTCTGCTCTAAGCCCTTAAAAACAGTCTGGACACCTTTTGTGGGACATTTTTAAAATAAGGACTGCTTTGTTACATTATAATTAAAAATGATGGTGCTGCAGTCTGTGTTTATTGGAACTCCGTGACGTGAAGTGCAACTTGTTAGAGTGATTAAAGTCTCATCAATAAAAGAGCTATATTTCCATGATGTGTGCTTTCCTTTAGTCTTGTTACTTCGTGACTGAATCAGCCCACTAAGTTCACTGACTCCCTGCTGCCAGGGGTGAATCCTACCCCTGGCTCTACCCCTAACCTAGCAGGTCACACTTACTGAGAGTTTGCTGTGTTCCAGGCACGGGGCTGTAAGCACTCTGCCTACACTTTCGAGGCAGTGTAAACCGAAGGAGAGAAAAGCCCACGTGGACAAATTAGACTTCATCAAGAGCTAAACTGACATCTTCCCAGGTGGAGCTGAGATGGAAGAACACGGGTAATGGAAGAAGGCCCCAAGGAGGACAGCGGCTTGGCCTGGGCCCCCGGAGAGAGCAGAGGAAGCCATTCCAGGGCAGGAGTGAGCAGGTGAGTGCTCTGGGGAGGGGCCGCCCCAGGACTTCCAGGCTGCGGGAGCGGGGAAAGTGCTGAGAAGCAGTGAGAAGGTGGAGGACAGGGTGCCCTGGGGTTGTCGCCCAGTCCCTAGCTTATGCCAGGCACTCAGAAACCAGCTGAATGATGAGGGCTGGTTATTGAGGTGAGCAATAGCCACCTCACTGCGGAGTGAAGTAGAAGTTTTGGTGAAGCGGGACACTGTCTATGGGTATAAAACCCTGCCATTTAATGGGAATACTTAAAAAAAAATCATTTCAGAAAGTTTGCCAGAATTGCCTATCAAAGCGTTTTGTGGCAGGTAAATAAAGTAACCGTTGCAATACTCTCTCCTCCCAAGAAGCCACTGTAACCTGGCAAACTTGCATATCTAATGGCCTTAAAGCTCTACAGGGCAACAGGAAATGTTCCTTCTCGATCTGGAACCCAGCTGTTCCCTCCATCCGTGCCAGTGTCCCTGTGAAATTTCTGTGACCTGGAAGCTGGCAGAGATCAGCAATGTGTCGCTGCAGCAGGGGACACTACATGGAAGCAGGTGGAGGTTAGAGGGGACACTCCTGCTCTTTCTCAGGTTGAAGCCAGGCCCTTGCATTAGAGCAGCAGTTCTCAGCGATAGATAGATGCACATCAGAATCACCCAGGAGCATCAAAACAAAACCCACACACAGCGCTCCCTCACTCCTATTTTACACGCCCAGATCATCCCAGTGTGCCACCAGTTTCTCAAATTTTCATTCACGTGTCTTGGGTCACCTTCATTCACCTTAAGTTGCCTGGGTCTGGCTTAGCAGGTCTTGAGTGAGGCTGGAAAGTTCACGGCTCCAGCAGGCTTGCAGGTGACACTGATGTCATCTGCAGAGCACATTCTGAAAGACAAGGGCAACCCGCCGGGAGCTGCGCTCCCTCCCATCACATAAATGTGAGAGCAGGACTAAGAAAACAGCTCCCCAAGGGGTGTCACGCTCTGTTTAGGAAGGACCATCTCAGGACTCTGGCTTCAGGTCCTACTTAATTTCTACTAATGCTGTCAGACTGCTTCCTTGAGCAGTTGCTATGCTGACGCTCAGCACATGTCTTTTGAGTCCCGTGTGCATCCAGCGTTCTACTCAGTAACAGGGTGAGAGGGAAATAAGACACAGACTGAGACCGGGTTATTCCGCCACGGAGCAGGGCCAGCCTGTAGAGATGTGGGTTCCTTTATTGACTGTCATGGAAAGTTGAGTCAAACTGGACACTGGAGCACGTGCCTAATGACGGTCTCTATGAGACTCTAGGAGGCTGGCCACTTGCTAAGCCTGAAGGATATTGTCGTTAAAAAACAAAATTGACCTGAGTAAAACTTCAAGATCTTGCTGGCCTTGTCCAGCAGTTCATGAATCGAGTAGCACCCCGTCTAGCAGGACGAAGGGAGCTCTGAGGAGCCGTAAGACATGAGACTTTTATAGGCAGGAGGGAACAAAACAAGGGAATTACACTAGGCACCAGGTGGGTGGGTGTGTCAAGATCGCTTTTCTTTAGCAGGGATGGCAGGGCGTCTATCGGGCAGATCACTGCCCTGGTGCTGATCAGGGGACTCCTGACCAACTGGTTTAAGATCAAGTCTAGGTTTGGCGGCATGGGGCTTAGCATCGGTGACCCCATTTTGTTTTTAACACTGTGCAATCGATACACAGTGAAAGAGGACTTCAGGTTGCTTTTAGAGAAAAGGAGACCCATTTGTGGTAAAGTAAGAAAGTCACAGATTGTGACTGCGCCAGTTAGACCCGAGTGCCGCTTAGCGCCTGGCCACCGCTTACAAGTGTGGCCCGAGACACGTTACCTTCTCCCTCCCATCTTCGCTGCCCACCTCATCAGATGAAGGTGGTAATACCTACAGCATGGGATGAAAGGGTCGAGTGCTCCTTCCCCAAACCCTATTCATGCTGCAGACCTCCCCTAAACGGGCTTTCTCAGGAGGTACCATCAGAACTCCCGCAGCCCCCACGCCACCCACCGAGACGTGCTCCCCCCATACTCTCTCTTGAAGACCTTGTACTTGAACTAACTAGAGTGGCATCTCTTTCCCATGGGATTGGCCTGTCTTAGCCTCTGTTTTTAGCACCCAGATGTTCGCGAGGCTGCTGCTTTGAGCATGTCACAGAGATGAGAGGAACTTTGTTTCTGGGTAGATAGTATATACTCACCCAAAGGATGGGCTTTTATTCTGTTTAAGCATCAAACTGGGAAGGTAAATGGGGGTGAGGATTGAGCCTTGGAAGAAATTATTTTGCTAGTCAATTCTGAGTTTCTCCCAGGCTTGAAGGATTTCTGAATCAACCAATTTTTCTAAATAGCTGGAGGTAGGATCAAGTTAAGCTGAGAAAAACTTGTGGGATTGCCAGATTGAATTAAGATTCTCATGACATCATGAGTATAGATTTCAAACAGTAGTAAGAGTATATTTTCTGAACTAGATGGCTACCCTTCAGCTGTCCTGCAGGGGACAGGGGGACAAACCTTCCCAAAATAAGAGGAAGTCACAAGTCAGCACATGGCAAGGCTGGAAAGCACACACGACACACGGGAAGCTAAGGAGGCNAACCTTCCCAAAATAAGAGGAAGTCACAAGTCAGCACATGGCAAGGCTGGAAAGCACACACGATGCACGGGAAGCTAAGGAGGCGGCTCTGTGCTTACCAGGGCCACAGCCACTCCCTTTGCCTTTTCTGGAAGCTCAGAGCCCCGGGTGATGGGGTCAGGATGTGCCGAGGGGTGGTTGTGTCTGTGGTTGTGGCCAGTAGGACTGGGCAGGTATGGGGATATCCGATGATTGCTGCAGAAGATCTGCCAAGGAGAATAATCAGTCCAGGTAGTTCAGGGTGACAGAAAGATCTGACCACTCTGGGCAGTGTCTACCTCAGACCATGGCTGGGGTTGAGCAGCTCAGGAAGGCTCCAGCTCCAGAGATTGGATGCCCTACGTTTGGGGTAAAGCACACCATATATATATAATTTTTTGTTGTTGTTGAAGGAATCTGTTTTAATGTCTCCTGGGGACCCTGATGTGTGGGTTTAGGAAGTGCTGAATTCAGTGAGCACCGCAGGCAGAGGGGCTCAGCTGTTTATGGAGCATCTCTGTAGTCAAGGCTCAGCTGGACCAAGGATGTCTCCGCCTCTAGAGTCCCCCAACACCTCAACCCCAGGGCATCAAGGCCTGCTGATTGTTCTTTATAGGAACCTCCTTCGTTCCTCCTCTTCTGCCCTGTCACCGACTCAGACACTCAGTCTCTACTTTTTCCTATCTAATCCTGGTTGAAGTATGAAGAACTGTGAAGGCTCTGAGGCTTCACCCTTCTTGCAAGCTAATGAGTTATCCTGCCTCAGTTTCACCAGTGCCAAGAGGAGACATGAGCCTCCTGGGTCAGAGACGAAGGACTTGATTACTCACAGCCCTGCAGGGACATGAGTTTCATGTTTGTAATAGTTCCTCATGTCCCCAGTCCCCATAGGGAACAGTAACTCAGATACATGCTGCACATACAGGGGGTTTGTACCCCAACCGAGGGACACTCAGCTTAGGAAACCCCAATCTTACAAAGGGGGGTGTAAGCAATCCTGGCCCACCCTGGCACCAGGACGTTATCCTCTGCCCACAAGGGGAGACACTATCCCGATCTTATAAGGGCGTTTGTTATATAAATGTCCTTGAAGAGATAGTTTGAGACAAAAGTGACCTCTTCACAGAAGTATAACAACACAAGACACCCATGGAGAATTGTCTCCCAACATTAGGAACTCATCACAATGACCTATTCACCTCCTTGCATTAGTCTGTCTGTCTGTCTGCCTGTGTCTCCCTCTCCCTCTCTCCTGTTAGCAGTTTTGGTTCTAGAACAAAACATAAAGCAGACATTTCACTCCTGTTTAAAACCTTTGGTTGTCTATTACATAATAGTTGAAATGTCTAAGACCCCCATCTGTCTGCTCCACACTTCCCACCTTACCTCTCATTTCCACCCTCATTCATATGTGCCCTCTGCCCCCGGCTGCCTGGAGAGCTGAGCCCTCTCTCTACAGAAGCCCTTTGACTCTGTTTATACCTCTATTAGCACCTGAACTTGTCTGCTTAATGTGAAGATTAATATGTTTCTCATCTGGTCTGCCCTCATTCCATCATGGCCCAGCGTGGTGTCTGATGCACACAGCCGGTGCTCAGTAAACCCTGTGTGGTGAGGAGTCTGCTGGGCCAGGGAGTCAGGCTGTTTGGGGTTTCCCTGCAGTTTGGGAGTCACAGCTGGTAGCCCCTGTTGTTTTAATCCTTTGGGCTTTGTTTTCGTGAGCGCTGTGGCCCAGGCCTGCAAGCAGAACAAGCTGTCCTAGGAGATTCTGGTGCTGTAGCAACTAGTAGCCTAGTGAGTCAAGATTTTTTTCTGCTCCAAGTACCAGGCGGCCTTGCTGGGGGGGTTAAACAGCAGGCGTGTGTCTCATGCGTCAGGTCTGCGGGTCCTCACTGCAAGGCTGGTGCTACCGACGGGCCGGCTCTCTCCTCTCTGCCCTACTGTCCCTAATGTGTAGGCTTTTATCCTCATGTCTGGGCGTCATGGTTGCAGGAGGGCTGTTGTACTTC